CTTAAAAAACACATATTTGGATGAAAATTGATAACTGTATAATTTTTTACATAATAAATTTGATTTTGATGTTAGTAAGACCTAGGCGAGGCTAATAAGAGGCACCATCTACATTTTTTAACTGTTTTGAAGTATAATAACTTTTCATCCGTGTATGTATTACTCTACCGAGAGAAAAAATATTTCGGCTGCATTCTACCCAAAAAAGGTAAAAAGTCTCTTGGTAAAAGTCCGTTCAAATAACCGTTCTCAAGATATTTGAAATCGAAATAATCAATAATCATTGACAAAAAAATAAACACGTTGAGTAGATAGTTATTAGACTGAAATTATATTTCTTTGTATCTAAGTGTCGACAGGAATTGTTTTATCATAAATTTATCTAAAAAATTATGATTAATTTAAAAACTTAAAATGTATTGACTATTTCGATTCCAAATATCTTGAGAACGGTTCTCCACAGCGATTTTGACAAAGAGATTTTTTTACAAATGCTGCTGAAAGAAAATGTATATTTTTCTTTCAGCAGCGGAATACAGATACAGACGAAAATGTATTACTCTTCGAAACAGTAGCTGGCACCGACAAGTAAAAGTAGTCATACCAACATAGAAATTGAATTTCTCATGTCAAGAAACATCCAGACATCAATTTTCATCCAAATACCGACGTTAGTTTAGAAATTATTTGAAAAAAAAACGAAATAAAAATGAAACTTCTACACCCTGTATCTTTCGAATATATTGCCGAAGTTACTCGATTACAATTGGGACCACCCTGTATATTAAAAAATAATAATATTTAAAAAAAATTATATAGAAAGCAATGGTAGAAAGCGTTTTTGGTAAAAAAAAAACGTTGAAAAAGTGCACGACTTGCAAGAATTTTGCAGCAAGACTGAAACCTGCAAGACTAGACTCTTTATGAGCAAGACTAGTATTAGACTACAAGGCCAAGACCAAGGAACTCTTGATCTTGGTCTTGCATTTGCGCGTCACTAATTCTCAATAGATTTACAGTAGCATTTACTATTTTTCCATTAAATAAAGTCTGTTGAATTAGAGCTCCTTGTATCGACAATATTCTATTTCGAAAATTGTATTTATCTAAGTTTCTTGCGTGTCTTAATATAATTTCCCTATAACTAACTTGTTTAACATTTTTTTGTAACCCTCGAAACAAATGAGATAATGGACTTTTCTTTATTGTTGACTCACCTTGTAGAGGGTGTCCCATTTTAGTTGACATCATACTTTTGACATCAAAATCAAATTTTTCGTATCACAAGACCCCCAGACACCAATTTTCATCCAGATATTGACGTTACTTCAGAAATTATTTAGAAAAAATTGAAATAAAAATGAAACTTCTACACCCTGTATCTCCGAAACTAAGCATTTTAAATATACATTTATACGAACTTTTTCACTTATTTTTATTTGCAGAAGATGCTGCCGAAGTTTCCGGAGTACAGTTCGGACCACCCTGTATATCACTCTATATTTATTTTCACTATTTATTGCAATATTTAAAAAAATATATTAAAAGGTCATATTTATTAGTAGGTCATGATTCAGAATAAAAGAAACTAAGGAATTATTAAGGATAAAGCAGCGGAATACAGATACAGACGAAAATGTATTACTCTTCGAAACAGTAGCTGGCACCGACGAGTAAAAGTAGTCATACCAACATAGAAATTGAGTTTCTCATGTCAAGAAACATCCAGACATCAATTTTCATCCAAATACCGACCTTAGTTTAGAAATTATTTGAAAAAAAACGAAATAAAAATGAAACACTCACACCCTGTATCTTTCGAATATATTGCCGAAGTTACTCGATTACAATTGGGACCACCCTGTATATTAAAAAATAATAATATGTAAAAAATTATATAGAAAGCAATGGTAGAAAGCGTTTTTAGTAAAAAAACGTTGAAAAAGTGCATGACTTGCAAGAATTTTGCAGCAAGACTGAAACCTGCAAGACTAGACTCTTCATGAGCAAGACTAGTATTAGACTACAAGGCCAAGACCAAGGGACTCTTGATCTTGGTCTTGCATTTGCGCATCACTAATTCTCAATAGATTTACAGTGGCATTTACTATTTTTCCATTAAATAAAGTCTGTTGAATTAGAGCGCCTTGTATCGACAATATTCTATTTCGAAAATTGTATTTATCTAAGTTTCTTGCGTGTCTTAATATAATTTCCCTATAACTAACTTGTTTAACATTTTTTTGTAACCCTCGAAACAAATGAGATAATGGACTTTTCTTTATTGTTGACTCACCTTGTAGAGGGTGTCCCATTTTAGTTGACATCATACGGTATCTCCGTTATTCGTGAAGATAGAAGGATGCGGTTTGCACATACCTGTGCCACTTTTTTGTCAAACGAAAGATTTTTTCATAGCAAAAAAAGAAAGGAAATTTTCATAGCTCTCTTCGTTTCTGAGCTACAGGGTCTTTTTGAAACTCTTGCAATTTGGGACACTCCCTGTATCTCTGTTATTGTTAAAGGTATCGAGAAAGTGAAAACTGTTTATTGTAGAACTTTTTACGTAAAATACAGTGGCGTAGTCTGTTATTCTACGAAAAGAATATTTTTAAAAATATGAACTAAAATTATGTTTTCTTAAATGGAACACCCTGTATATTTATAAATTATACGATCTGGCTGGCCATAAGCTTCTCAAAAATATACAGGGTGGTCCGAATTGTATTCCAGAAACTTCGGCAGCATATTCTGCAGACCAAAATAAGTAAAAAAGTTCGTATAAATGTATGTCCTAAAATGCTAAGTTTCGGTGATACAGGGTGTAGAAGTTTCATTTTTATTTCGATTTTTTCCAAATAATTTATGAAGTAAAGTCAATATTTGGATGAAAATTGGTGTCTGGGAATTTTTTGACATGAGAAATTTGATTTTCATGTCAATATGACTCCTACTTGTAGAGGGTGCCACCTACATATGCTTTAACTGGTTTGAAGAGTAATAACTTTTCATCCATACCTGTATAAAACTACTGAGTAAAAAAATATAAATATACAACGTTTTTTACATAAAAAAGGTCTCTTGGTAAAAATCGCTACGAGTAATGGTTCACGAGATATTTTAAATTGAAATTATCAATACCTGTCAACATTGACAAATTAAACATGTTGACTAAATAGTTATTAGACTGAAATCTTAAATTTGAAATCTTTTTATCCCAAAAGTCCAACAGAAACTGTTTAATCATCATTTTTTCGCAGAAAAATTTATGATAAATTTAAAAAAATAAACATTTATTATTTCAGTCAAATAACTCTATTCAACGAGTGCTTATTTTTTGTCAATAATGACATGTATTGACTATTTCTATTTTAAATATCTTGAGAACGGTTGCTCGTAGCGATTTTTACCAAGAGACATTTTTTACGTAGAAAGCCATGGAAATGTATATTTTTTTAGTTAGTAGTTTTATACAGGTACTGTCGAAAAGTTATTACTCTTTAAAACAGTCAAAAGGCATGTAGGTGGCGCCCCCTACAAATAGGAGTCATTTTGACATCAAAATCAAATTTCTCGTATCACAAGACCCCCAGACACCAATTTTCATCCAGATATTGACGTTACTTCAGAAATTATTTAGAAAAAATTGAAATAAAAATGAAACTTCTACACCCTGTATCTCCGAAACTAAGCATTTTAAATATACATTTATACGAACTTTTTCACTTATTTTTATTTGCAGAATATGCTGCCGAAGTTTCCGGAATACAGTTCGGACCAACCTGTATATCACTCTATATTTATTTTCACTATTTATTGCAATATTTAAAAAAATATATTAAAAGGTCATATTTATTAGTAGGTCATGATTGAGAATAAGAGAAACTAAGGAATTATTAAAAGTATATACTGCTATCTGTCTCTTGTTTTATTTTGAGAGCCACTAATAAATAATATATCAGGGAAACTTAACTCTCTACCGCTATTTGTAAATCTTGGAAGCTATCGTATCGGAACTTTTAAATATTCCTTTAGCTAATTTACGTAAAATATACTTTCAGCAAGATGGGGCTCCTCCTCACAACTAACTAGCCTTAATCAAAGCACGTGTGTTTGGATTTAAGCCTTAGGCAGATTTCTGACATATATTATATATTTCCTTTGGCCACACACCCGCTTTATCTGAATCCTGAGAGCGACTCGAAAGTACAGCGTAATAGACTCTTAAGCCTTTATAAAGAGACTTAAATCTTTTTAAAAAAGACTTAAATCTTTTTCTTTATCGGAATAATGATTTAAATCACAAATTATTTTGAAAAAGACTTAAATTTTAAGTCTTAAAGTCAGCTTTCGACAAATAACTTAAAATCAAATGATTTAAGTTATAATAAATGATATAATAATTGAATTAAATAATAATGATAAAATGATTGAAATTAGAAAAAGACTTTCTAGAAAGAAAGTTTTTTGTGATAAAATAAAAATTCTGTATATAGAAAAAAATGGTGCTATTATTGATCGCATATTTTACAAAAACATGAACATTTCAAACCAGAAATCTGATATATGGCCTTTTCGCTGGGTCACCCTGTAAATATTTCTAATCTAATTTAATTAATTGTCCTTTAGTTATTACCAATTATATATTTCAATAATAATTCAAAAACACTCTAGCCTAGGCAGTAGTAAACTCTAAAATATTCGATACAATATTTTAAACTTGTTTCTGTGTAATAGTTGAACTGATCTCAGCGTTCAAAATACCCCCAATTCCAACACCACCCCTTTCCCACACGCCCCAGCGGACAACCTGTATATTAACGTTCTGCGATCCCGACATCAGGACACCGCCGTCGGAGTAGGCTAAACATACGCAGGCGTTTCCAAGAAAAGCTCCCCTACCGGCGAGCTTTCAAACCTCAGTGTGACCTAAACTACCGTGCCAAAAGACAGTCCTCCGATCGATTTTTACCTAATAAATTATCTTAATTTTCGAAAAAATACATTGTCCCGAGCGTTTCGTCGCACTAGTTTTAAGTTTTAACGTTTGCGAAGCGACGTTTCGACTAAAATCAATCGTTCGATCGAGCCGGGCGACGCAGTCATCCCCGCAGACACCCTGCTCGTCGCGGTGTTAGTGTGCCAAATTTTCGCGAAAACAACTCTTGTTTGTCTCAGGTTTTTTAGTTGATAGAGCGGTCGAATATCGACAGGATGGGAGCTAAAGGCAGTGTGGAGGCGGCCAAAATCAACGCTCAAAATTGGAGCAATTTTGAGGTAGGGTGCGGGTCATTTTTAGGCGTGCAAGAATCGTAGGGATTACTGACCTGATGTAGGCGTTGACTGTGCACTGCAAACATTTTTCGCTATCTCTTACTGTTATCATTATTTCAAGAAATAGTGGGCGGTGGCAATTGTTTAAACAATATTAGGCGCTTCTTAACAATGCATGCAAATTATACGTTAATGCATGCCGCGATTGTTATGTCTGTGGTGTTACTCTTAGTTTGTTTTGATTCCAGATTTGAGATGAATGTCACAAATAATAATTTGTAAACGTTATAATAAAATAATGTCTATATCTCTGTGGGTTCATTACAGAAAAATATCTTGATTAAAATAAAAGGGGAAAACTGAAAGAAAATGGTCTTTTACTTGTAAACACATTTGTTTACAAGTAAAGTGCCATTGTGAAGCGGGTTTCTGTTGGATTCTAACTTTATTTGATGAAAAATAACAATTCTTATTAATTTCATAATTCAGCGACGAAAAATGTACCTAGCTGATTTCTTGGTAAAACATAATGGCAAAATAGCTCTATTATCAATAGAAATTACATCTTGTTAGCAAAACAAAATATCCTAAATTTCCTAATTTTGTATAAATTTCCTAAAATTCCTTGACATCAAATGTCTATAAATTGAGCTGATGTAGGCGTTGACTGTATTATTATAGGGCGGTGGCAATTTTGTTGCTGTTTGAACAATCTACGCTTCTTAAGAATACATGCAAATTATATCTTAGAATAAATTTTTCCTGTCATTATTGTCAAATTTCTTGTGGAACTGTTACTTTGTTACTGTACATTTATTCCAAATTCTGCAAGTAAAAAAATTCTAGACGTAGCAACAAAATGTTTGGAAATAAGGTGATTATTTTGTCATTAGAATAGAAAAAAGGCAAAACACACGAAATAAAAGGTATTTTCTACACGAATCAAATATAAATAAATGTATAACTCATAGCATCTGTAGATGTTAATAAAATGTAAGCCTATGGTGTTATTCGAAGAATTATTGTAGTGCAGTGGGCAATTTTGTTGCTGTTGAAACAATCTAAGATGCTTCTTAATAGTGCATGCTCCCCAAATTATAACTTAAAATATTATTTCTCATGTCATTATTGTTAGACTTCTGGCTTCTGGTGCAACTGACACTTTTATTCCAAATTTTGCTAGTAAAAAAATGTAAGCGTTAGAACAAAATGTTTGGAAGAAAGGCTGATTATTTTGTCATTAAAGCACAACCCAGATAAAAGCTATTTTGAAAATCAATAAAATACTAATAAATGTATTACTCAACCATCTGAAGATGTTAATAAAATATGGTTATCGCTTCTTTGTTTACACAACATAAATCTTAGAAAAAACTAGAATTTTCTATATCTTATAGACACTTGAAATCTATTTGCTCTTACCAATTGATTTAATCAACCGCCATTATGCAGTAACTGTAAATTATAAATTTTACGTTACTTTTTATGTAATGTGGCAATCAAAAAGTCAATTGTTTACTAACGTCTCTGTTTTAAGTCACGGTGTCAGTGTGACAAATTTTCACAAAAACAACTCTTGTTTGTCTCAGGTTTTTTTAGTTGATAGAGCGTCCGAATATCGACAGGATGCGAGCTAAAGGCAGTGTGGAGGCGGTCAAAATCAACGCTCAAAATTAGAGCAATTTTGAAGTAGGGTGCGGATCATTTTTAGGTTTGGTGCAAGAATCGCAGGGATTACTGACCTGATGTCGGCGTTGACTATGTACTGCAAACATTTTTCGCTATCTCTTGCTGTTGTCATTATTTGATCGTCAGATTTGGAGATGAATGTTACAAATAATAATGTGTAAACGTTATAATGAAATAATGTACATATATATCTCTAGGATATATATATATATATATCTCGGGTTCATTACAGAAAAATATCTTGATTAAAAGAACAGAAATCTGAAAGAAAATGGCTTTTAACCAAACTGCCTTTTGCTGGTAAACAAATTTGTTTACAAGTAAAGTGCCATTGTGAAGCGGGGTTCTGTCGGATTCTAACTTTATTTTGCGAAAAATTCAGTGACGAAAAATGTACCTAGTTGTGTTCTTGGTAAAACATAATGGTAATATAGCTCAATTATCAGTAAAAATTACCTATTTTTTACTGCAAAAAAATATTATAAATTTACTAATTTTGTATAAATTTCGTAAAAGTACTTGACATCGAATGTGTATAAATTGAGTTAATGTAGGCGTTGACTATATTACATATTATTGGGCGGTGGCAATTTTGTAGCTGTTTAAACAAACTAAGCTGCTTCTTAAGAATGCATGCAAATTATACATTAAAATTTAATTTTTCCTGTCATTATTGTTATATTTTTTGTGGAACTGTTACTTTGATTTTCTTCCAAATTCAGTAAGCAAAAAAAATATAAACGTTACAACGAAATGCTTGGAAGAAAGGCTGATTATTTTGGCATTAAAACAGAAAATCGAAAAAATAAAATATTTTTAACATGTGCCCAGCATGTTTCATGTAAAATTAGGTTTAGAAAATATATTTGAGTTTGGAAACTTTTACTTACTGTTTTTCGAAATTAATTATTAATTTTTGACAATTTTTTAAGTAAATTTGTTATTCTCACTCTTTTTACATTTTATAAATGAAATATAAGTAGAGGTGAGCTTCGCGCTAAAATTATCAGGCAATGCCATTTGAAAAGTCACTTTATTGACATTTTCTGACCGCTCATATGACACTTTATCGCAAAGATCCCTTATGAGATATACATAATATCAAAAAATTAGGTAAAGCGCAATTTACTTAAATTCCAGTTAATCAGCGCCATTCTAATTTTATACAAAACTTGTAAAAATATGTAATGTAGGGTAGTTAAAGTTGTTTTCAACTCAATAATATGTTGTTTTATTTTGCGTTGTTAATCAATGTTGGTAGTTATTAAAACTGTTATAAAAAATTGTATTTCTAATAAAAATAGATAATAAAGTAATAATAAGTAATAATAATTATTTAATAACACAAATATCAGATACACTGCTGAAGCGTTAGTCAAATTGACGTATCTTAATTAATTTTGACAAGTAGTAAATAATAGCGAAAATCACAGAAAAAAATATATAATTTAGTGAATTTCATAAATGATCGGTTTACACTAGAGTTGGGCAAAAAATCACTACCTGTGATTTTGTCGCCGTGAAATAAAAGTCACGGATCACAGCTGTTACCAACATAAAAATAAAACGTGATTAGAATTACGTGACTGTATCGAGAGGCGACGTTGTTTGACCTGTTACTGCTACTAGCCTACTACTCTTCTACTACTTTAAAACTTCTTAAATTGCTGTAAAGTTGAAAATCGCAAATCACACGGCAAACACGCGTAATATACACGGTGACCAGATTGGTCAGTTTCGCGCAAATTGGAAAGAAAGTACGTATATATAGAAGTACGAAATTTGGCACGTAGGTTCCTTGAGTAATGTAATAGAGCACTAAGAAGCGATTTTTGAACAGTTTCGGAACCGTTTTTAATCTGTCTTGTCAAAACACCGGTTAAAATAACCTCACTTTTTGTTTGATGTAAGATGTAAACAAAACAAACCTTAATAATATTCTTCACAGATATTCTTATTAATTGTATAGAGCAGTGGAAACTGTAAAAAAGTGGTTAATTACTACCTATATTAATAAATAATGGACACAATTAACCATAATTTTGGTAACTTGGTTTACTATTCGTTTTTTTTGTTGAAAAGTGTGAACTGTAAAATGTTAAACCCTAGCTAAATTAAATAGACAATTTCTAAGTATAGAAAGAATTTAAAACACTAAAACCCATTAAACTCCAAACAAATAAACAAATCCACAAAACAAAACAAGCAAACCCCCGGCCCAAATGTCAATCAGCTGATAAAATTTACTGACTGCGCATGTCAGTACAAACAGTTCCCACTTACTGGCAAGTATCGAAATTACGGTTCCGAAACCGTTCTAATAACGATCAGAAAATTGGTTGGAACGCAAAGAGAATCGTTCGAGGACGATCCCCATCAAGGTTGGAACGCTTTTAGCCCTATGCGCATGAACGGAACCGTTCCTGAACGGTTCTCAACGGGGTTGGAACAAACCTGTTGTATATATTTTTTAAATTAGTCCTTGGAGTATAAAATTTTGCACAGAGGCCCCTTAAGTGATGAACGTGAGTACTACGAAGCAAATTTTGGACATTCATCCCTAAGAAATAAGGGATGAAAATTGGTACAAAAATTTGTTAAAATGGCTTTAGAAGTGTGAAATTCTGCCAAGACGTTCCTTACGTAACGTAATTTAGCACCATGAAGCAATTTTTGGAAATTCGTCCTTTAAGGGGGTGAAATGAGAAGTAGACGTTCAGAAAAAAATCTGTCTTAGGAATATGAAATTTTGCACAGTAATTCCTTATGCCGCGTAATTGAATAGTTAGAACGATATTCTGAATTCATTTCTTAAGGGGGTAATACCGGCACCCATATATCTATGTATATGTTACGGTTAAAGTCCGATGTCCGGTTAATGTCGACATTAACAGGTTAATGTTTGGGTTTGGTTATGTTTTTGATTATTTTGTTGTGTGTTATTCTCGAGATTAACCGGGTAATGTCGACATTAACCGGATTTATGAACCGTCATGTCGTTAAAAGTAACAGTAAATAAAATATCACGGACAGGTTTATTACGATTGCGATATAAATCACAGTCACAGATTAATTTCACAGCGAATTAGAAATCACAGTCACGGGTATACCTGTGATTGTAAAATCACGTTTTCGCCGAACTCTAGTTTACACGTATGTAGGCATATTATAGTCACCAGCGAAAAGTTATTTCATTATATCCCTCGATTTTTGACCGAGATCCACCGCACGCTGCAAAACTAACTATTTTACAGTCTTTTTCGATAAATCGCAATAGTTTCACTATTAATTATGTTCTGATACAAAATTTCCTT